ATCCTGAACCTCATCTGCATGCCCTCAACCTGTCGTCCCAGCCTGCTCCGCCCCCCGTGCGCGCTGCGCCGGCGCTGCCACCGGGGCCCACGGAACGGGCCCCGCCGTGCCGGGGAGGACGAAGGCCACCTCTTTACGGTTTCAATTTTTCGGGCTGGGGGTGGCAGGAGGCTGTGCAGGTGTCATGGGAGTTTTTGAGGGGTTCGTACGTGGGGTCCTCGGTTCTGAGCTTATAGTGGGTTGTTCGGGGCGTACGGATCTCTCTGGCGATTCGATATGTAGTCCCCAGTCCCCAGCCCGGGTGAAATTTTTGAAAAACAATAACAACAGATAGTTTTTTGCAAAAAATGATACAGAGAGAAAGACAATGAAAGTCTCAAAGCCAAGTTTTGAGGGCGCAAGGCCTGGCTCGGATCTCTAACCGTTTGGAGGCTTACATTTCGGGCTCAAGGCCGGGTTGGGGCTTTGGGCTCAGGGCTCTGCAGGTTGTGGGTTTGTGTTCAAGGAGCTCAGGGTTTCAAGATTTGGGCAGTTGTCAAAATTATGGCCCCTTTTGGGTACCCTCAATATTAGGTGCCGTATTGTAATAAGGACCCAAAAAGGGAGCATAATTTCGGCAACCACCCATTTATGTTTGAGCGTAAATGCCTTCTCAGTAGCTTTGCATGTGATGCGAGAAATTATGCGGCTGTTTGCAAGCCGGCAAACAGCATGCTTCTGTTCTGCAGAGGGAGCGCTACAAAGCGATTGCGCCAGCAGGCTAAAGCTCGCTCAAGCCTTGCGCTTCAAGCTTGCAGCGTTTAGGGTTCTGAGGGTTCAGGGTTTAGGGTTCACACGCGGTAGGTGGTGGAGCTATGTAAAACTGTTTCTGCTGAGACGCAGCCATCGCCGGCGGTGTGTGCGGAGTTGACCCAAGAATGACGACGCTGCAATGGCTGCGGCCACAGAAATATCCGTATCACGACCCGAAGCTGAGGCCTAAACCCAACATAGGGGCCTTAATAAATACTTACCTACACCATCTTCGGGGTTCCTTATTACAAGTAAAGTATAATGGGCCTTGAAAACCAATTCTAAATTATTAAAGCCCCGATATGAAATAGTACCCTTATAGATCCCTTATAGTAGCCCTTACAGAATCCTTGAAAGGAGCCCTACTCTAAGTATTAAAGGACCCTTTAGTGTGAATAGTAAACCCTAAAACCTAAACGTATAGGTCCCTTATGGTAGCCCTTATAGACCCCTTTTAAAGGAACCCTATTCTGATTATTAAGGACCCTATAGTAAATCCTAGACCCCTAAACGCCCTTCGCCGTTAAAGTTTCGGTGGAGGCCACCAGTCGGAGGCTTCTGCGCTAGGGCTTGGGGGGGCTTTAGGGTTTCGGGGTTTAGCGGTTTAGGGGTTTTTTTTTAACCTATGTTGACCGTCGGACCTTTTTCCAGCAGCCTGCCCATGTTTGGGCCCATAGAGGTGAAAGAAACTACATAGTGGACTCTGGTAATTCACCGACTTTCTGGTCATGTACTGGAGGTTCATTAGAAAGTCGAGGTAGCACCGGAGGTTCACCCCCAGGGACTTCATCAGTATCACTTGCCAGCGATGCACCAACATTGGTGACAGGGACAGTCTCATCAACCATGGTGTAATAACCCTCCACATGACCAGTGCCAGTTCCCTCATCTGCCTCCACCCCTGTCAGGTCAGCTCTGTCCTCAGCAGCCTCAGGAGCACTTCCACCCTCATGGAGTTGTTCATCTTCCTGGTATTGGCCACCCCTCATATCTCGCTCTTCTGCACGCAGTTGTTCTTGACCAAGACGTCCCAGAAGTAGTCCATACACACGGTGATCACGTGGACTGACAGGGAGTCCTTGAGACCTCTGAGCCTGAATGATATGGTCCCAGGTGTCCTCAAAGGTCCATTCACGGCGAGGGGCTCTAGTTGGACGTGGCGACCGCGAACACGGTCCCGTTTCACCCCTCCACGGCGGTCGTGTCACATCCGGCTTCATGGAGCAGGGTTGTCATACGCGAGACCACCAGCTCCGCCGTCATCTGTATCATCAGAACTTCCCGAGCCGTCAGTGGTTCATCACGACCAAGAGCCCTTGCCACACCCTCTGCACTCCCCTCTGTCTCCTCCACAGTGTTCTCAGCTGGCTGTTCCACCTGCAACGTAGTTGAGGTCGTCGAGGTAGTGGAAGAAACTTCTCCCATCCCAGCCATCAAGAGCAATGTAGTGGTGGAACAGGTAGCCCCACTGCCAACAATGTCCGCAATGACATCGTCCGTGTTGTACTCACCCCATGGAGTCATCGGCGCACTGCCAACCGGCGCCGACGGTATCACCGGCGTGATGGGAATCCCATTGTCATCGAATGGCGTAGTCGCCCCAAAGTGACGTGTGGGGGCGGGTGGGGCCTTCTTGTGGCGGTGGTCGCATAGGCCTGTTCGCCACCAAAGATAGGTCGTCCCACAGTAGTACTTCCCGGTGTCATACTCCCCGAAGACGTAGTCACCCCCGGTCCATAAAGACTCACTGGGCTAGCCAGCATGCCTCCACTCATCCCTGTGTGTCCAGCCAGGCTAGCTCGCGTTCCAACTGGAGGTGCTTGGAAGCGAGGTCGAGGATGCACCGGCACGGGTGGGGGCCGCATCTCCCAGGACGAGCTCGGCTTCTCTGGCATAGAGGGTGGCGAACGGGATCTTGTCACCCCGCTCGTAGGCACAGTCACCCCAAGGTTAGCAGGTGGACCCGGTACACGAGGTCGAGGGGCATTCTGCCATGCCTCACCCATGGCGATGAGTTCATTCGTCCTACGAACCCTGTCTTCCTCCCTCCTCCTTTGCTCCAGCACACGTTCGTCTTCTTCATGAGCTAGATCCAGAGCCGCCCTCGCCAGAATCCAAACATGTCCCTCAAAGCCACTCGACCATTCAAGAAGACGCCCCTGCTCATCAGCATTTCTGGGGGGGGGGCAGTACGCGGCTCCGAGGGAGGCGGGTATATCGAGTGCAGCAGCGCGTCCCTGTACCGCCCCAGGGCCTCACTCATCATCTGCACTCCTCGTGCGTGCTTGTGTATAGCCCAGCGTGCTCGAGGACCCAACCCCGTTTGTTGTCGTCCCGCTAGTTCCCTCAGGACGTCCTGTACGACCTCATGGACATAGTCCCGAATGGGATCCTCACGTGGAGGCAAATAGGCCGTATACACGGATCCTCGACCAAAGGCCGAAGCTCCATTACGTCCACTTCAGCCGTACGTCCATGAGATAGCTGGAGCATAATATAGGTGGTGTTTTGGACCGGGTCCATTTCCAATTCCAAGTGTCCAGTATGGGCAAGGCGGTCATCGTAGGGCGCTGGATCCGATGGTCCTCCCAATGTCTCCCCTGTAGTCGAAGTGGTAGTAGACGTAGTAGAGGTCCACGGAGGTCTCGGAACGGTCATCCCTTCCAACACGTTGCCCCCCAATACAGGCCACGTCTGGAAAATCGGCCAGATAAACCCCAACTCCTCCATATAGTGGGCAATGATGTCATAGGTCACCTCCTCGTCCAAATCATAGAAGTCCACCACCGACACATTGAAGGCAATCAAAGAGAAGACCTCATAGTTCTCAAGGTATACCACGGTTCCATTCATGTCACCCTCGGAAAGTCGAAGGGTCGCTGCAGGAAGCACTGCACGCACATCACCCCCAGAGGCCAGGTCTGTCACGGGATTGTCAAAGGCCAGTTCCCACGGTTCCAAGGAATTCATCCCCGTTGTGGTCGTGGAAGTCGTAGAGGTCATCCATCGTCCAGATGGTATGAGGTTGTTGTTCAACCTTCCAGGTCGAAGTAGGGCAAGGAGCAGCCACACGTCCATAGAGCCCAGGTGGTCCCCAATCCAATTTAGCACAACCTCCGGCATGGGCATGAGCTGCACCACATGACCACCGAAGTCATTCTGGGAGAAGGCGTCAAAGTCCACGAAGTAGAGCTCACCCATGTCATTGTCAACCCCTGGAAGTTGAGAAGCACTGACAGGGAGTGGCAGGCATGTCTTTGAAAGACATGGGCACCCCAATCGATTCACCTCCACGGAAGGAGGAAAGCGAAACCCTACCAGAACCATCGTAAAAGACCTTCAAAGAAACTGGACAGAACCTCTGAAACCTCTATAGAACCCTACAGCCCTTTAGGAGACTCGGTGGGGCGCATGCACAAATTCGGCCAGCCACAGATTCACCATCCTTAATCTGTGGCTGGCTACCCAGCAGCCAGAGCCTCGCTGCCAGGCACGCCGCATCCGCATTTTTGCGGCGTGACCTGGCAGCGGAGGAATGAGCCAGCCTCGCGGTGAAAATTCCTCAGGGCACTCCGGAGTCGTAGCACACGCCGCCGAAGCGAAGGTCTCCATGGAGAGCACTGCAGGAGTTGGGCAGAAGCTCGTTCCAGCAGTCGCATGACCTTTGTCAGGTTGGCCTCGTCCAATAGCGTGAGCGCAGGAGCGTGGGCAGCTCCGACTCGGCTTCCTCGCGCTGCATCTGCTGCTTCGGGCCCACTACCAGACTGAAGCGGACCTTCCGGTTTAGGGGTTTAGTGTAAAACCAAATTACCATGACCGGCAGAAGCCTGCTGAGCCGAAGCCTTGTCTGCCATGATCGGCAGAAGCCAGTTCGTCCGAAGCAGCGAGCTTCGCAAGGATGACACGCACAAATCCGAGGCTTTTAGGTTCCGAGCAAAAGGCGCTCGCTGGTGAGCCGGGGGTTTGGAGGCTTCCGGGGGTTTGGGGCCGGTTCTAAGCTTCAGTGGGGTTAGGACCAGGGTCCCGGGCATCTTTGTTTTGAGGCAGGTCAGGCTGTGTTCCTCTGCTTGTAGTTTGTTGTTGGTAGCGGAGCCCGGGCCGCTTTCCGGGTTCTTCTGTGGGTTGGGCTTGTGTGTCTGGTCGGTCGTCCTCTTTGTCGTTTTGGGTCGGCTGTGTCCTTCGGGGTTTCGTAGTTACTCCCGCACCTCATGGCGTCTACCGAGTCTGGAGCAGATGTTCCTACTTCATACTACAACGCTCCAGCTAGTGAACCGATGCCAGCAGATCCTGTTGATCAGAGGGCCGACTGGAGTTGGGATTCTTCAGATTGGCGCTGGGGAGATCAATGGGCAATAGGGAAGTGGTATCGTCCTTATGACTACTACTATCACGACCACTGGTCTTGGGGTTCAAGGGCCGAGTGGAACAACAGTTCTTTTGAGTCTTCTCGTGGTTCTCAAGGGGAAGGCGATGGCGATCACGGCTCGGGTCCTCGCTCAGATGATTATCCTGCTCATGAGGCGGCAGGCAACGACGGCGAGGCGCAGAGCAACAGGAGGGGCTCTTGGAATTCTTCAGGGACCGGGACCGGGGATGCATCTACGAGGGCGACTTCGGGAGGTGTTAGTGCGGACCAGGGTGCCCCCGCGAACAAGGGCTCGTTCAGTGAAAAGATGGCGGTTCCCAGTTTTGATGCTAGCAGTACAGGTGACGAGTTGGGTGTGAGCGCTCGCTCATACCTGAGGCAAGTCGATGCCTGGGTGAAAGTCACTCGGACTCCCAAGGGGCAACAGGCGTTGCTTCTGTATCAGCACTTGTCCGGCCGTGCTTGGGTTGAATCAGAAGAGCTCAGTGTAGATGCTCTAGCTGGCGAGACTGGATTGAAGGTGCTTTGGGATTGGATTCAAGAGCGCTACCAGGAGGTTGAGGTTTCGAAGATTGCGGAGAGCCTTACAGCATTCTTCAGACGTCTCAAGAGGCAGCCTGGACAGACTATTCGCGAATTCAACTCGGCATTCGACAGGAGCCATTCTCGACTTCTGGAGATAGATTGTCGTCTACCGGAAGTTGCCAAGGCATGGGCCTACTTGAGCGCATTGAGCTTGAGCAGTTCGGAAGAGCTGGCGTTGCTTGCTTCGGTTGGTAATGACTACAACACGTCGAAGCTCCATCGGGCAGCAGTGTTACATGAGAAATCGCTTCGCCAACCATGGCAACCTCGGAAAGGATTCGGATCTGAAGGAAAAGGGGTTTATAAGGCTACCTACTTGACGGGGATCGGGGAGGTTGATGAAGATGATGACGAGATCCCCCCGGACGGTGATGAATCTATGGCCGAGGAAGAAGCGATCCTCCTGCACGAAGCCTTCGTTGCACAAGAAACGGCCAAATCCAAATACCGAGAAGTCGCAAAGGCCCGCGGCGTGGATCCTAGAGTCATGAAAGACAACCGAAAGGCATCAGAGAGCAGCGACAAGGCCATCGAGGACCGCCTCGCACAGGCTAAGGCACGCTCCTTTTGCGCCGGTTGCGGCAGAAAGGGGCATTGGCACAAAGATTCGGTGTGCCCTCTGAACCGCCAGATCAGCAGGCCCATGTGACATCGATTGCTGAAGAAGGCTCGGTGGGCTCAGTGGTTCAGGTCGCTTACGAGGTGGGCGATCTCGGAGGCGGCAAGCTCCTGGCAATCACAGACACCGCATGCAGTAAGACTGTTACGGGTCAGAAGTGGCTTGAGGACTACTTGAGGCTGGCGAAGGCTTCCGGGATCGAGACACAATTCCTCAACGCCCAAGATGACTTTCGATTCGGGGCATCTAGGCTCTTCAAGGCCACGTATACCGCATCGATTGTGATGGAGGTCAACGGTAAGCACTTCGTTGTCAGAGCATCTGTTGTTGACGGAGAAGTCCCACTCCTCCTCAGTAGAAGGGCCTTGAGCAAACTCGGCATGATCTATGACATCGAGAACCACACTGCTAGGTTCAAGCACCTGGGGATTGATCCCTTCAGACTCCTTACGACCGACAACGGCCATCCTGCCATCCAGGTGAACCCTAGCGCTTTTGCGGGTCAGAAACTCCCGTCTCCCCAACACTGGGAGGATGACGAAGTGCAGCTCCTTTCGATGAGTGCGCAATACATGACTCACTCGGTTTGCATGACTTCTGAGATTGCACCTCCAGATCAACGTGAAACGGTCACAACTAAGAGCAACAAGTTCCCTCGCGAAGGACCGCTGCGCCAGCTTGCACCACAGATCTTCTACCCGAAGAAGATAGATGCTACGGTGCGAAATATGTTGTGTGCGACCCCTCTGAATTCAGATCTCTTCGCCGCTTGGTGGGGTCGGACTCCGATTTCAAAGGACTTCTGGATCGAGACGGCTAGTGCTTTGATTCGGGTTCACGTTGTCCCAAGACGAGGTTTCTTCGATCCGACACAGTGGTCTACACACCAGGAGAATGTCAAGCAGGAGTTACTTCGTGCCATTGGTGAAGTTAGGAGCACTTCAGCCGTGTCATGCGGTAGTCTCCATGCAATGCAACAAATTCACGATGCGTGGAGATCAGACTCGAACACCAGCCATCCGGTGCTTTGGATCGGGAGAACCATCTTTTCTAGAGCTTCGGGTAGCGAGCCTGCGGCCTCCTCTCCCCCTAGTGCGAAGCATAGCTCCACCGACAATGTCATCATCCTCGACTCCCACGGAGAATGTGTGGCACATGACAAAGGCACAGCTCCTCTCGAAGGCGACGGCGATGAACATTACAGCACACCCCAGCTGGAGCACAGGAGAGCTGCGGCAGTTGATTCAGGAAAAGAAGAGAGAGATGGGGGACACGTCGTCTGTCCCCAAGGGACTTTCTTCGATGAACAAATCCCAACTGCTCGAACAGTGTCGCCTCCTCGGCTTGGAGGTTCCGGAGGGGGCGACCAATGGGCTCCTCGCGCTCAAGATTCGAGACTCTTGTACGAAACACAAGGGCGACGCCATTGTGGCGTTCGGACGACACAAAGGGAAGCTCTTCAAAGAAGTACCACAGAGCTATCTCGAGCGGGCAGTCAAGGAGGTTCGACAGCGAGGTCCAGACGGGTCGAGTGCGGATCTTGTGAGCCTGAGTATCTATGCGAATCAGGTGCTCCAGAAGACGAATCCCATCACCGAGGATCCCGAGGAGAATGCTTTGGTTCCCATTCCTCTGGAGAGCTCTTCGGCATCATCGTGGAGCGAGGTGTGGAGCGAGCTGACGCCGGCGGCCAAGGGGATGAATCGGAAAGTGGAGGTGGCCAACAGGCCCAAGAGTCGGATGCCGACTCCCGGCTACAAGGATACGGAGAGGGCTCCTTCTTCCAAGAGAACACCGGATCAGGGCAACCATGGGGAGACCGAGGCGGAGAAGATGATCCAGGATGTGCCCCCGGGCGTGAAGGCAGAGGTGGAGGAGCTGATGGCGCGACTGGCCTCGTTGCGCGACAAGTACAACATCTGAAGGGTGTGTGTCCCGAGGCTTATGAGTCGGAGGGCGAGCCTACCGAGGGTCAGCAGGAATCTCCTGATGGTTTGACGTTTTCGGTGAGTGGCGTTGACACTAATGAGGATCATAATCAAGAAGATGAGCGGTTCTATGACTGTCAGGAGAATGCTGCCGCAGAGGTGGTTGGATCCGACATTGACTCGGTCGAGTGCCGAGCGCAAGAGCTTTTGGCGATTCAGCTTTGAATCACGCGAAGGACTCCTTGAATGTGTGTGCAAACTCGCCCAGTCGTCCCGGAAGAGAAAGATCAATGAGAGCACTTGCAGCGTTGCTTTTGGTGCCTATTCCCACGGCAATCATTACGGTGTCATACAGAAAACTTTTCAATGTTGGCACGCCTGCAAGTACTTCAATGCATTCATGCGTTACCATGGAGCGAAAGGACAATGGAGCAGCATCCAGCTCGGGTACAACTGTCACGTCGGGCCGCATAAAGATGTTCACAATTTGCATTCAACCATGAATTGGGCGATCTCGTTTGGGGGCCTCACTAAAGGGCGTCTATGGCTTGAACATGATCCCACATCCGAGGCACCCAATGGCACCGGGGAGCTCGATGAGGTTATCCTCTCTGACGGTACTCGGGCACGAGGTTTCCTCATGATAACAGGTGCAGTATGTTGAGCTTTCCTCCTAAGACCCGTCATGCAGTTGAGCAATGGTCCGGAGTCAGGTTCAGTATACGACCCGTGGCATTGGCGAGATCACTCGGCCTGAACGTGATGTGCTTCGTAGCGGTGGTTTTCCTTTAGGTCGTTCGGAGGGATCTGAGGATTGGGAGAGAGAGCATTGTTCGAGACCCAAGAAGAGTGTGAGACGGGGTCTGTGGAAAGGGGCGAAACGCGCCAGCGCTCTGATTGCTCTCGGTATGACCGCTGCTACATCCTATGTCACAGAGATCATGCCCCCTGGAAAACCTGTTGATCAGGTATCTCTGCTGGAGATCGGGGGGGTCGAGCTCACATGCGACAACATCGAGGCTGGCTTCAGGACCATCGAACCTTTGTCCTGGCAAGACTTCCTTAGTCAAGATGAGGGCCTGGATGTGTGTGGGACGATTTCGCTCATGAAACCCCAAGTGCTCTGGTTCCAAGGTAACTCTACCGACTATGCACCGGGGATCTCGAATAAGATTGTGACCACGGCGGGCCACCAGCTGGGGCTCGGAGGCACTTTTGTGTTCCAGGCCAAGATGTGCAATCCTTTCTGGCAACACCCTAGACTCCGAGGGCTTTTGAACGAGCAACCTCATTTCTATCAGGAAAGTGATGGGGACTGGATTCTCCGTGTCGGTGTTGCTGGTGATGATCCTGTCAAAGAATGCGGCGATGACTCTCAGAAGGACAATGGGGTTTATGTAGCTTCGCATGCAAACCAGAAGGATGCCGATGAACATCATGGTGCGTCTGCCATCCACTTTGACAAGAATGTGCCCAAACACGTTCAGTCTGCCCTCTCTAGACTTCACCAGAATCTCGGGCACCCTAAAGTTGACGACATGGTAAGGCATCTCCGATATGCGGGCGCGGAGGAAGCCATCCTCAAAGCCTGTAAGTAGATGAGGTGCGATGTATGTTTGCGAAATCAGAAAACTGGGTGCGCCAGGCCTGCTGTTCTCCCGTCGTTGCTTGACATGAACCAATTGGTGAGCGTCGATGTCTTTTCGGTGTTTGACTCGAATCGCATCAGGAATGAATTCTTGTCCATCATCGACCACGCGACCACCTTCCACTTAGTCGCTGAGTTGGAGGGTCACTCCGGGGACGATTTCTGCAGGCAGTTCACTCAAGTTTGGGGGAATGTCTTTGGTGCGCCGGGGACAATTTCTGCTGATCTTGAATCGGGTTTGCAGGTTGGAGTGTCCAAGTACGCCGAGTTCCATGGTTGCAAATTGAGATCTTCAGCAGGACAAGCTCACTGGCAGCAGGGGGTGATTGAGAGGCACGGTTGGTGGTATCAGGAGATCTTGCAACGGGTCATCGATGAGAAGTCCATCACCGCCGATGATATGTACATGGCGGTACAAGCTGTGAATAGCGCGAAGAATGAATTGCGACGTAGGCACGGATTCTCTCCTTCACAAGCTGTATTCGGCAAAGATCCCCGTACCCCAGAAGAACTCTGTTCAGGAGTTGATGAGGAGCGCTTCATCGAGATCTTGTCACAGGACAGTCGTCGCCAACGAGAGGTCAGTGTACGGGCTGCGGCTAAGATGGCATTCTTCAGAACCCAGATGGATACGAAGTTCAGAAGGGCTTTGATTCAAAGATCCAGGGTTAAGCGTGGAGGTTATGCTGTTGGAGAGATGGTCTGCTTCTATCGCATCGAGAAGGTGGCCACAAAGCGTGGGCAATGGAGAGGTCCCGGCACTATCAAAGGGCACGAAGGGGGCAATTGGTGGATATCTTTCGGGGGCAGATGTCATCTAGTAGCAGAAGAACATTTGAGACCAGCTACTTCAGAGGAGCTTGGGGAAATCTTCTCGACGAGAATCGCACGAGATGATCTAGAACGGCTTCTCAACCTTGACCCAGATGATCCCGAGACCTACCAGCCACCCGAACATGAGTCTCAGCATGATGGTAGCTCCCACCAAGAACCTCCACCGCCGCTCGAGGATATGGATCTGGACGATATCGGTTGGTCTGGACCCGAGGACGAGAGCATGAACATCCCACTCGAGCTTGAGGGCGAGGACGCTCAGGACAGCGGGGTTTTGACTGAAGAGGGTACCGATAGGAAACGCGATGTGGCTTCGGGATCGGCGCCTCCTGTTCTTAGGAGAGTACGTCAGAAGACACCAGGCCAAAGGGTCCAGTCTGCGAACATGTTGAAGAAGTGCAAAACCGATCGATCACTTGAGAAACAGTTGGAGAAAGAACTTCCTTGGCGTCTTATTCCTCCAGAAGAACATGAAGCCTTTCGACTCGCAGAGGAAAAAAATATCGTGAGCACATCGATCACGATGCATTGAAACCCATGACTGTTGAGGAATCAAACCGTGTGCGAAGGGAAGTTCCATCTGATCGGATTCTGTCTTCAAGGTTCGCGTATAGAGACAAGAATTGGAGCCGAAGAAAGATTGACCCGAGCACACCCTGGAAGCATAAAGCGAGGCTTGTGATCGCTGGACACAAAGATCCAGACATCTGTCATCTAGAGACGGATGCTCCTACCATTCAGAGGCTCACGATCCTCACGTTGTTTCAGGTGTTGGCTAGCAAGAGGACAAAGGCCGATTGGGTCGCCGCCGCAGGTGATATCACTGCAGCCTTTCTGAACGGTGATGTCATGGAGCGCGAGCTCTACTTGAGGCAACCTAAGAATGGTTTGGGAGGCTCATTTTCGGGTTGCCTGATTCCCCAAGGAGATGGTGGAAACGATTGAAGCGCGAGATGCTTGATATCTTGATCTCCTACGGAGGACAGGATCTTCACTTTGTGCAGTGCCCACTTGATCCATGCCTTTTTCAGCTTGTTGGGGATAACTCCTCTGTGCCACTCGCCTATGTCGGGGTTCACGTGGATGATCTGTTAGTTGTGGGTCCCAGGGATTTGGTTGAAGCGGTCAAATCCAAGCTTTCCGAGAAGTTCCCCGTTGATGAGTGGGAGACGGATCAGTTCGATTACATCGGCTCACATGTGACGGTATCCGATGACGGGGTGCGAATCACACAGGAGTCCTATGCCAGTTCTAGACTTTTTGAAGTCGATTTGGTTAAGGGACAAGACGAGCTTGAGGTTGCTAGTCTCGAACAGAAGATTGACAATCAGTCCTTAATTGGTGCTTTGTCATGGTTGAGTGCGCAGACACGTCCCGACTTGCAATGCGGTGTATCGCTCGCCCAGCAGCTCCAAAAGAGTCCCCTCGTTGAAGATATAAAGTTTACGAACCAATTGGCCAGAAGAGCTTGGGAACATCGTGACCAGGGGATCCTATTGAGGCCTCTTGACCTCACCACTCTTGAGTACATTATTTTTCATGACTCAGCCTGGGCCAATGCTATGCTTGATGGGGAACCTGGGTTTACGCTGAGTGAGGAAGACCACATGAATGGGATCATGCAGGGCACTCCGTTCGATAAGAAGGCTAGCAAAGCTAAGAAAGAGAACTTGAAGGTGGCAAGCCAGATGGGGATCCTCATTGCGCTGACGGATGCCGATGGTTTTGCTGCGGGAAAGAGTGCTATGAGTATCCTTGATTGGAAATCATCTGCCAATCCCAGAGTCTGTAGATCAACCTTTGCAGCCGAGACGACCGCCTGTTCTGAGGCCATCGAGATGGGACAATACGTTAGATCCTTTGTGGAGACCGTTCTTACTGGACAGTTATGCAGAGTTGAGAGTCTTTCCGGTAAGAAACTGAAGTGCATATCAGACTGCAAGTCTTTGTACGACCATCTTCACCGAGAAGGAGTCCCACGAGTCCCCTCAGACAAACGGCTAGCTCCGCTCTTTTGGGTGCCGACGAGCTTCCAATTAGCCGACATCCTGACAAAGCCCAAATGCTCTAAGTCTTGGTGGGCAACCGTGAATGGAATGATCGAGCTTCCCTTCGTGAAGCCAAACCTGTGATTCGGAGATCGTGCGGAACCTCCCGATAACAGGGAATCCTTTTTGAGCAGTGTAAAACCAAATTACCATGACCGGCAGAAGCCTGCTGAGCCGAAGCCTTGTCTGCCATGATCGGCAGAAGCCAGTTCGTCCGAAGCAGCGAGCTTCGCAAGGATGACACGCACAAATCCGAGGCTTTTAGGTTCCGAGCAAAAGGCGCTCGCTGGTGAGCCGGGGGTTTGGAGGCTTCCGGGGGTTTGGGGCCGGTTCTAAGCTTCAGTGGGGTTAGGACCAGGGTCCCGGGCATCTTTGTTTTGAGGCAGGTCAGGCTGTGTTCCTCTGCTTGTAGTTTGTTATTTAGGGGTTTAGGGTTTAGGGGTTAGGGTTTAGGGGTTTCGGGGTTTAGGCGGTTTAGGGGTTTCGTGGTTTAGGGTTTAGGTTCTTCGACGAAGTTGCCCGAGGAGCATGCAAGGAGGGTAGGAGGACTGCCTTGATCATCGCTCGCTTGGGGTCTCGAGGCTCACTTGGAGGGTCGGGGGACTTAGTAAGTAGGTAGTAAGTAGACTTATAAGTATCCTAAAAGGGACCCTAATTGGGGTTGTGGTACTTATAAGTCCCTAAACTAACCAGTTACTAAGTCCCCCGACCCTCCAAGCAGGGTTTCGGGTTTGGGGGTTTGCCGTTCAGGGTCCAGCGCGAGCCTGAATTTTGTCAAGGTGGTTGTCAAAATTAGGGTCCCTTTGTGGGCCCTTATTATAATACGGCACCTAATATTTAGGGTACCCAAAAATGGGACATAAAATTGACAACCACCCATCTGAATCCCAGGTCAAAAACATGGGCTCTGATTCCTGTGTCGTGGCTTCGAAGCGTAATTAAGTGGTCAAACTTCGTACTTTGTGCCACCTAGAAGGCCACGCTGAGAGCATACCTTTCTAAGGCAAAAACCAAAAACACACACACTCTCTCTCTCTAAACCCTAGAGCCCTACACCCCCTGTTCGGGATCCTGGCATGCTTGTCGCTGATCTGGAACTTGCCTCTGCACAAATGACACCAATCGCCACACAGCTCCACGTTACGCCACAAATCGAACGCCGATCCGAAGCCAGCAAAACCCAACCAACGACCTCAATGGCAACTATGATGATGATGATGATGATGATGATGATGATGATGATGATGATGACGATGACGGTGATTGTGATGGTGATGGCGATGATGATGACGATGACGAATATGATCACCATGATGACGATGATGTCGATGATGACGAGGAGGAAGATGAGGACGATGAGGATGGTGATGGTGAAGATGAGACGCTAATGATGATGAGGAGGAGGATGGTGACTATGGTGATGATGATCGCAATGATAAATCCCTAGTGCCGGGGGTTCTGAGCATCTGGTGTTCGCATCTTCCGGCAAGGTGCCTGCTTTCTTGGTTCGGGTGCTTTAACTTCTCAGGTCTTGATCTTGAGATCATGCCCTGGAGACACCTAAACTCCAAAATCTCTTAAGTCCAGATCCGTCAGACACCTGTCTAGATCCGTCAGACACCCGGGATAACAGTCCGGGTGGGGGTCACCTTCGCTTGAAAGGCCTGGTCGTGAAGAGCAAAACCATAGCGATTGCAATAGTACCACTCAAGAACTTCGCCGCATGTCCAGCTGTAATGGCAGTAGTGCGGTACAAAAACGTCATAAGTTACTGCTTTTATGTTCATGACCATCAATGCAAAAAGAACGACATTACCAATGGTAGGGTGAGCGGTATGCCTTAAATCATATTAGGAATCCTACTATAATCTATGGTATATTCGTTAATCAAGGGATATTGGAGTCTCTGGGTTCGGAAAGGTTTCTGGGGCGGTTAGGGCTTAGGCTTTAGGGATCTTGGCTACAGGGCTTAGAACACCATGGACATGAGGACAACAGTCTACCAAACCGAAAGCCCTAGATGTTACAAGCTTGATAAGCTTGCTCAGATTCCATGTTAGCCTTGGGGCGAGCCAAACCCCCAAAACCCACGAATCCTCAACGAACCCTCGAACCCCGAAGAACCCACGAACCTTCAGAACCCTCAAACCTTACAGGTGCAGGCAAGCGGCATTCCCCATTCCTGGGCTGAGCTAGAATAGAAGTCTACTCAGTAATCCATACCTCCCGGTAGTCCCAGAAACTTAGACCACAATCTGCCACAAAAGCCCTAGTCTACTTAGGAAAACCCTCATCTCAACACTCAATAGAGCCCTATAGACACTCTACAAGAACCCTGCAAAGCCCACTTCCAATCACTAAGGCGCTAGGTTCCCCAGCAGCCCCCTGATGATCAGGGTAGTCGCTGTCCTACCTTTGAGGTTTAGGATTTAGGGTTGACCTTTGGCTTCAAGACTGGAACCCGAAGAGGAAAAGGACAAAAGTGTACGTCTGGTGAACCTAGCAAGGCTTCTTGTCAGCTTCTGAAGCAACCTCGATGCGAAGAGTCTTGAGGTGCTGGCTAAGGCTTAGGGCTTGGAGGGTTTAGGGCTTTATTAGGGCTTTCTTGCTACTTTTGATATTGGAGCCTCTGGGTTGCTATATGCACTGAGGAAAACAGCATGCAACGTGTGGCCACATGCCCTATGTAGTGCGAAAGGCATGCTGGGCGATTTATCAATCTGTTTGATGCGCATGCATGTACACACAACTCTCCAGTCTCTCTGGCTCGCCCTGGATCTATCAGTCTGTGTATCTGTATGTATCAGGTACATATGCATACATGCACATGTCTGTCTGTCTGGTTGTTAGTAGGGAATGGGGGAATGGATTATGGAGACAATAACTGGGGATTATATCGGGACTACTATAGGGATCCATTCCCCCGATTCCCTACCAAGCACCAGGAAGTTGAACCATCAATTCCGGCAGCGGACGGCCCAGTGAAGAACTTGTAGCCGTCAAAGGTGGCGTTGGTTTTGAGCAACTCCTGCTGCCTTCCCACTCACTCCAATATCCGTTACTTAAGGAATGCCTCGGGCTTTAAGGGATCTAGAACGGATCTAGAGGGTTTAGGGTTTAGGGGGTTCTCATATCCCTTAATCAAGGAGTATACCTTGAATCACATTAGGGATCCTACCATGACTAAAGGCATCCTATATTCCTTAATGAAGGGATATTGGGAGATGCTGTCTTCCGCAAGTCTTGCCTTCCGGTCTCAGCGTTTGGGTTTAGGCTTATAAGGTTTAGGACTGGGGTTTGGGGGGCCTGTGTGACAGCAGGTTCGTATAAGATTCCTCGTAAGTGTCTGAAGGTTCTACAAGGGATCAAGGGCTTAATGTGACGGCAAACCGTTCGGAATTGGAGGGCTTTCGGCCGATTGGGTGTGAGGGTTAAGGATTTGTGGCAACGGAGATCAGCAATCTGCGAGAGCTCCCAGGCCTTCGAAATTTTGAACCCTAAACCCGAAACCCCTGAACCCCAAACCCTACCCGGGCCGTCGTGCTTGTGCAGGCCCATGCGTCGTGCTTCAGGGCGAAGGGTTCAATGTACTGCAGCTGTTTAGGGTTTCTGGTTTCTGGTGCTGGCATAAAACCCCGTGAGGGAAACTCGGCAAGACTCAAACATGCACTGCAGAAGCTTAAAGCCAGCATCTAGGCTTCTGTTCACCAGCACATAAAGAGTCCAGGAGTCCCGCTTCAGCTCCACATCCTTTTGCCACAGTCAACCCGGGGCCGTGGGTAGCAAAAAGGCATCTCAAGGAGACCCCTTCATAGATTTTGCAAAAGTCGGAAACTACACCAGCCGTGGGTCTATATCGCAGGGAAGCTCGGGCGATCCATGTGGTAGGTTTTACATGGAGTTCTACTGGCCCGAATGGAGGGTATCCTGTTTATAGCCCTACATAGAGATTGTCTATTGGATCCTTGATCCTTGGAGGAGTGACCTGTAATTCCGCTCGCAGCTGCCGGTTCCCTCCAAGATAGATAGTAGATGTGCGATGTTCGTTTGTTTTGCTTCTGATTTGGTGGTCTGCACTGGGAGGGTTGGTGCCCAGCAGGTTGCCAAAAGAAATCGCAAACCGTCATGAGCTTGCATGAGTTTGGAACAAGCTGTTTCCCTTGTCAACGCTGATGACCGGAGGGTGCGCTCATGCTTCGAGCTTCATAATGCAAGTATAGCCTTACCTAATCTACTTATAACCAAACTCATAACTTCCAGAAGTCCCACCAAGAATCTTAAACCCTGGACCCCCGAGACGAAACCCACAACTCCAACTGTAGTAAGGTGTATTCCTTCCGTTATCGCAACGGGGACTATAAGGGGATACTACTGTTGATGATATAAATCCTGCATTACCCGCAATAGGGAAGATACCATGATTGCCATAGTCTAGGGTCCTTAAGGTAATGCAGGACTTATATCATCAACCGTAGTACTAATTGTTCCGACCCCCACAAAGACCCTGCTGCTAGCCTCTCTGGCAGTCGTAGGAGGATGCCTCGGCGCAAGTACTATCGGGGCCTTCAAAAATGTGACTAGGATTTTGGTGTACGTTGCTGAAGTACATGTAGATACACATATACACACATATACACATACAGTTTCACATGCCCATACCCATACCCATACCCCTGCCCCTACACATACACATGCACATGCACATACACACAGATGAACTTGCACATGCAGATGCACATCCACATACACATGCACTTGCACATGCACGTGCACATGCACAGACACATGCGCACACACACACACACACACATCCACATGCACATGCACATGCACGTGCACATCCACATGCACATTCACGTGCACATCCACATACACATACACATGCACGTGCACATGCACATTCAGATGCACATTCAGATGCACATGCGCATGCACATGCACATACAGATGCACATGCGCATGCACATGCACATGCGCATCCACATACGCATGCACATGCACATACACTTCCATGTGCACATGCACATCCACATCCACATACGCATGCACATACACATCCACATGCACATACATATGCTTACATT